TCTTGGGCTTGGGACCCAACTTTCATATTATCTATGTCTCAGCCGTCTCTGGATTTCATGCCGTTCCCAGCTCTGCCCAGCGGCAAGTGGTCGGTCCAGTTGTGCAAGGTGTCGGGATGCCGTGTGTCCAAGGAGCTGCACAGCGAGCGGAGCCTGCTGTAGAAGCATGTTCGGTAAACCAACATTCCGAAGGAATTGACAGGACTGGAAAGAAGGCCAGGTGAATCTCTGTGTGAGATTCAGGCAATTCATCAAACCAAGGCATCAAATAAGGGCACTAAATTCTCGGTGGTACCAACAGTCACCCAGTTCTTCTCCCGACCATCTCGGCGGCTGACCGTTGCTGTGACCTGTTCGTCTTGGGAAAGAAACACGCGTCCCGGGCATGGAGAAGTTCAGAGCTGAGCGTTCTTCCACTCACTTTTGAATCACACCCCTAAAGGGATCAAATAGTTTCTCCATTTCTCCACGTTTCTCTCAAATCACGTTCAGTGCAAAATGGATGCCTTTGTCTATCAAATACCCATCTCTGTTGGCCCAGCCCAAGATTGAAAGAATCACATAATGCTGTATGTTTCAGATCGAAGGAACAGTCAGTTCTTGGCGATGGTTGATTCCACATGTTGATTCCTCAGTTCTAGATCTACCAATAGCGGGAGGCCATCGCTGTTAGGTTGGGGCCATCACGGCCATCGCTCTTAGGTTGGAGGCCATCGCTACTAGGATGGAGGCCATCGATCAGTTCTTAATTACATCCTCTTCTTTGGCGGCCTTCCAATTTGCCAGCCTACACAGCCTACACCCCTCTACAATACTTGATCAGCAGTTCGTCATGTTCTGATCATCTTATATTGCTTCATGTCAAAAGGCAATATGTTTAGCTTAGCTATTATAATATGCTGTTGTTGTGTACAATCGACTGGCACACCAAGCTCATCTTCTTTCACTTTCATCCTTTTCTGTGGTAGTCTAAACATGGGTGTCGATGGGCAAACACAGGTGTTACACAGATGTTCTCCAGGTACAACAAGCAAAACACCTCTGGGCCAGTCTGACAGGAGTTCGTGCCGCTCTGCCTCTAGAACACTCACATGTTCCAAACAGCCCCACCATTCACCCACCCTTTCCCACATGCTGGTCATCCTCGGTCCGACTCGATTTTTGAGCTGGGCAACTGTTGCACCGCCCTGGCTGCGAAATGTTCCCGGGCGATCTGTGAGCAGCTTTCACAGGAGATGAGGATCAGCTCCACATCCTTGGCCAGGATCATCCAGCATCCCGATGTCCCGCGAACGGAACTCTGGAGGCCATCGCTATTGGGGGGGAGGCCATCGCTACTAGGTTCCTTTTGATACTGGTAGCTGGTTCTGGCCTTTTTCGAAATCGTTGACGGAGCCAGCTTGAACCCCTGAGACAGCACGAATTGGGACACCAAAATTGAACACCTCAAGGGACGCCGACAACCCACCGGCCAGGTCACTGGAAGCCTGAAACAGATTCCGAAAATCACCACCACAGTAATGCACCATGTACTGCCTGCCCCAATGCAGATGTGGATACCCAGCCTGGCCAAAGAAGTCTAGAAACCCACAAAGCAAACCGTTTTCTCCCCTACTAGTATGATGCTCTGCTGGCATACAATGTTCTTCAGTTTGTCCAACACAACCCCAAAAAAACCAACCACAGCCACAACCAGACCCCCACAACAATCACAACCACAATGACAACAAACACCATCTGTTCTTTTTGGAACCGCGGAACCGTCCATCATCTCCATCCCCGTCCGATCCCATGGAACCGTCCACCGTCCACCGGTCGCCTGATTCACGTTCTCGGGGAACTCGCGCATGAAGACGGCCTGTGCCTCCTGAGGGAAGCGCGGTCTCCGGAGTCCCAAGAGCCGCGGTGACTGGAGTCGCGTTCTCGGGGTTTTCAAGGCGCAGGGAGAGAACCACATCTTTCGCCCAGTTTTATCCCATTACTTCAGCTGAAATTGAACCACAAGTTGTTTCCACAGGTTTGGGTAAGTTTAGGAAAGTCCTGACCAGTAAGTCAACCTTCATCGTCGCCATTGTGTATTCTCCATGTAGTGTCTTCCACAAGAGGCCTACGTCTTTGGGGTTGTTGGACATCGGTGACTGATTTGCTGTCTGCTCCATTGCTGTCTGCTCCAGGCATCTTGTGTTGGCATTCTTGGATCTTTTCACACGCGTTGATGGCTTGACCAAAATCTATGACAGGATATTTACATGCCCCCCGTGTCTTGAGCATTTGGTTTTGTCTCAGCAAGTTTCTTTGTCTCAGAATCGAGTCTTTAGCAGCATCTTGTCCCATGGGACCTCCTGACAGTGTTCAAACGTTTATACAAACTCTCTGGTTCCAGGCCAGCTTTCACAAGTCTTGCTCCGCCCCTCAGTGCCAAGGGGCATAAGTCTGTGTGCCCTTCACTGGCTCAAAGGTGAACCTGGCAGTGACTGTTCAAACGCCGGGCCATCAGACCGCTGGATTGGAGCGAACCGTGAACCCCGGAGAAAGAGAGACTCCATAACGAGTGAACCCCAGATCTGTTCGGCTTTGGGTGAAGACCTGGGAAATTGTCGAAAGAAGAACATGTTTGGGGAATCGACCTATAGAGAAACACCCGCAACTGGCTTGAGACAGGAGTTGTCACTGAAAGGGGAACACATGATACCATCATTTTTCCAAAGCGTTGATTGAAGCAGGGCTTTCTATCCAAACCACAGGGATGTTGATGTTGGAGGTGCAAGATGGATCCAACAACCTGCTGCAAAGCAAGGGAATTGGGACATGACCCCTTCCAAATTAGGTCTACACAGCATCAGAGGCATCTAATCACCGTGTCTTGCGTAAACTGAGATTTCTCCCAAAAACGTGTTGGGCCCGGCTCCACCAAGGCACTTGCAGTGGTCCACCAGACGCAGGGCGAAGGGCGCACAGATCGCTGCCAGCAAAGCCCAGGCGACCAGGACGATCCTTGGAGGATCGACGTCGGCGACGACTGTGTCGCAGATTCCGATCCTTTTTCCGTGGTTGATTGATGTGGGGATTGCAACACTGCTAGTCCAGTGAGAAAGTAGTGTGGGCTTTCCATTGCCCAAATATAGAACTATATCAACTTCAAGTAGATTGGTAAAAAGAGAGTGCTCCAGTCTAGTGTAATATATGCATAGTTCCGGTTCCCAGTCAGTTCCAAGCCAAAGTACGGTTTAGTGCGGAGGACACTTAGACGACACTGAAGCCATCGAACCTCTTTGGCTGGATGATCTACACTCGACCGCTTACATTTGTTCTGTTCCGCAACACAAAGAGGACATCGATAGGACTCCTGACATCGTTTTCAGAAAACTAAGGATAACTCAAAGGAACTCAAACAACCAGCTTGGCCGAAAACAACTAAAGAAACACAGGATGAGCTAGGATAACTATGTTCAAGTTCAGGCGAAGCAGCGAAGCTGGACAACTTACATCATCTGCCCAGGCTTGTTCAGGCTCGTCAAGCCTTCAACCGAGAGTCCGGTGGCGGCGAATGAGATGATCGCAGAACTTGCCCAATGCGTCCATGGCGAAGTCCGGCGGTCAGCGCCACCAAGTTCCGCCGAAGAAACGAAGGCGGTGTGGGGACTCTTTGGTTTGCACAGGGCGGTGCGGGGGGGGACTGCACGTGTGGTGCAGCCTCTGAAACTCTAGACAAAAAGCTCGGTGGAAAAAAAAGACCTGGATAGCAATAGGATGACCCTGGGTGTCCAACAGAAATGCCCTCTCTGGCATCGACTTTGAGATACTGGTCTGTCCCCTTACCACGAAGTCGGCCGTGCTTAGTGTGCTGCACCTCACAGCCCACAGACCGGACCCTCTTGGCCACGCGAGGAGTGGCCGTTTGGGGCCTGTGGGTTGGATCCAATTGACCCTGCCACTGAAGCCGAATAGGAAATGTTCATGGATCTGAAGAAGGATATCATGCATATCTACTATAGATGACTGCAATCTTCTCATTCATAGACCTAGATCTAGCGTTGAGATCACTTAGATCGTATTGCTTTTTATATCCTTTGAGTGGATCAAAGAGCAAGTGCCTGAAAAATTGTAGCAGAACTTCTCCGAACATCGGTTTCAGCATCAACATCCTCAAGTTGACGATGACAATCTCTGATGATTATGCATGTCCATGTCCTCGGATGTTCCAAGCCAACGGCTCCCTGGGCGGTAAAGCACCTGGGAGGCCTGTGTATGTTTTGGACCAAATCGCCAACCAAAAACAAAACCGTTCACAGCTCAGGGTTTCATTATCTGGTAGATGGGTATGTATACCTACCAAAGACTCAAGACCACCAGAAAAATGAAAACTCAGACCCAGTGGGCCTGAAAAACCTCCCTCTTCCAAGAAAGCTGCCTTCGGAATGAAATCCTTCAGGATCTTTCAGGTCTGACATGGTATTAACATGTATGAACACATTCCACTGAGCCAAGAGTGAATAAACCCTATGCCCCCATGGCAACATGTTCCGACCGCCATGGGTTACCCTTCGCTGGACAAGCTCCCTCTACGGACTGACCGACTGCCTCAAACCGACTCCTCATGTGATGGGAGATGCTTCTTCGAAGTTGTTCCCTGGCTTTGACTTTCAAGTGGAAATTGACACAGTTGTTGTGTCAGCTCTATTTGCACGTTCTGGCCAGATGCAGCCACTTGTCAATCCCAACAAACATAAGCGATATTTTGGACACTTGCAGACTTCAGCAAATAGTCACAAGTAGCAATACTGCAATTGTTCAATGCCAGCTGTCATGTCAATGACCCAGGTCAGGTCAATACACCCTAAGGGGGATGAACTGCTAATCAGCCCAAAACTCTAACACTCATATTATCCAGGCTGCCCATGTCGCATGACCCCGCATCAAAAAAAAGGCTTCCACAAACATATCCAAGCATCTATGAATCAATCTCCCTGCCCTCGTTCCTCTGGAAGTTCCGTCCCTGCCTGAGCTCCTCGGCCGAGAGCTGCCCATCGCCATCTGAGTCAAAGGCCTTGAAGGCCTCGACGCGCGAGGTCCCAGCGTCTGGGTTCAGGGGCTGCTGCGGATCTCGGTGATGTGACCCGTGATTACTAGCAATAGTCGTTGTAATTGTGGTAGTAGTAGTAGTAGCAGCAGCAGCAGTAGTAATGTAGCAGTGGCAGTAAGTAAGAGAAGCGCCTTCATATGTCGTCCTTCTGGGCGTTTTGGACAGTCTTCCACCAAAAACAACTCCACGCCGTCGCCTCATTGACTTTTGTCTGCTGACTGGCGTCCAATTGCGTTGCAACCTCAAGCGGTTTTTCAGCTCGAGGATAGGTGTTTCAGAACATCCCATCTGACGAACGACGACTGGATTCGGTGTTGGCATCGTACCCCCAAAGCAAAAGCTTTAAAAGCTTATACCCTACAAGCATCGGCCTTCGCCAAGGTCTCGACCCTCACCCTCGAGTCTCTGGTGACGGTGGCTGGATATGGCACTTGCTTTGGTGGGAAAGGTCAAATCATTGCAGGCAACACTCCTAGTAGCGTCCCTTGTTCCTAGTAGTAAAAGGCCAGGATCCCCGTTCGTAGCGTCCTTGCTCCGTTCGTAGCGATGCCAGGAGTCCCTAGTAGCTTCATGTAGCTTCTAGTTGCTTTGTGGCAGGCAACACAACTGATATGTTTGCTTCCGGTGGAACATGGTTGGTCAATCGGTTGGTCCATAGTGGAACTCGGCATGGTCCAACCTTCCACCCCACAAACATGGACCTTCCATCCCACGTGGAACATCGAAGAACCTCCTCCGAGCCTTGGCCATGTTGTTGGCTTCTTGCTACGTAAGTGGCTACGTTCTTTTCGCGATTCATGCATTCATGCGCCATGAGCATCAAATATATATAGCATCCTCTTCCTCAACAACAGAAACAACATGAAACAACAAAACAAGGGTCTCACAGTGACAACACTTGAAAGACCACTTAATATAGCATCGAACTAATAGCGATGCACTTAGCTACATGGCGTCCAGGGTGCGCGATGCACCCTCGGACCCGGTCACCGCATGCGGTCCCTCGACGTCATGCGGTCATGCCGGTCGTCACCGACTCAGTTGACCATGGATTGGTTTGGATCAGTTGAGAAAACGATGAACAAGGGATGAAGATAGTCCAAACATGTCCAAAACAATGGTTCGATATGTTGACCCCGAATTCACCTGTAAAAGGCATTCACATGGCATTAAGCCTTTAAAACATGATACAGGGAATGTAGGTGAATCTTGGATGTATGGATAGATCAGACTATTGGTGAACCCCCCAGTTGGTGAACCTAGGGGGCTCCGTTTGACGGCCCTGTCGGCCCTGACGCTACGGGATATTGACTTCAATGGCGACGCCAATGGGCTCCAAGAATTGTCAGGTTTGGCTTGGGTAGGTGCTCCATGCTTGAATTGATCAACTTCGAGCCGTGGTGAACATGAGGTGGAAGGCGACTAGGGTGCCTGGGGAATTCCAAATCATTCGACGAACCCCCAGCTTGGGAAACCAAAAGAATCGTGAACGCATAACACCCCTCAACACATTCAAACAAGTAATGCCGGGATAAGCCAGCCACCTGCCTTCGGCTTCCAAATAGCAAACCTCCACCACCCAATAGCAAACCAATACCACCTAAGAACCCAAAAGAATACCCTCCATAAGAACCGTTTGAAGAGAGACCTTCGGACGGAACTCACGGCTCCACGAAACCCAGACGCTCCCGGTCCCGGGCGCCCCACGAAGCGGGTCACGAATTTCTCGAACTCCGATCGCTGGCCGACCTGGGACGAGACCGGCACGGGGAGACCGAGGAGCGAGCGAGGGACGAGACCGAGCTGCCCGACCGCGGACCGGCCGATGGACGAGACCGAGCTGCCGGTGTTTCCGAGTCCTGCGGTATGACAACGGATGGACCGGACATGGAGGACCTGAGAGGTCCATTTTTGGAGGAATAGAGATGAAGACGTCATCCTAGTGCACTAGATTTGCACTAGTAAACATGCATGGAACATGGCTGGCTGCCGTCTTTCGTTTCGCTGGGTCATCTCGTTCTTCCATGTTCTTCCTTTAGCAGGACGACTCATGACTTTGTGATGCGTCGGTCACAGGCATGGGGAAGGGTGTTGTGGCATGCCCTAAATCGTCTGGCGGCAAACATGTCTCATGTCATGTCGAAAGATGTCAAAAGTGGTTGAAAGTTTCCTCCAAAAGGACTCACCAAGGAACTTTCTACAAATCAACAAAGCAACATAGACTCGACCAATCCAATTGGTCATGCTCCTTAGCAAAGCGACCAGCAAACCATTCAAAGCCTTCCCAGCACCATAACCACTCATCTCAAGCCTATTGGCCTATTGGGGTAAGCCCACCCAGCTACCAAAGCAACATCCTCGTCTTTCCGACACCAGTGCTTGGCACCCCAGGCGGCCAGCAAGCTCCGGAGCTGATCCTCATGCAAGACACCAGCCGGGTTGCCTCGGAGCGTGCGGATTTCCGCGCGTGCCGGGCTCCTTCCGGACGTGACCGTCGTGGCCTCGGGCTCTTCATTGAAGCGCCCAATTGAAATGGAACATCCTCTTCATATGGGGGGTTTATGAATACCAAGAGTCCACGACGCTTCTGAAGTATACGAGCAAAAACATGTGAACGGTCAATAGGTACAAGGTCACACTGAAACAAACGCCCATGATCAACTCCGTGGGGGAATTGTTTGGGAACAAGAGTGCCAAGGTACAAAGAGAGATGAACAGCTTCAGTCCAGCTACTCTTAAAACACAAAAAAAAACACATCCAGATTTCAACCAGAATCTGGCTCCCTCAGTCACTGGAAACTAAAGGTTAACCGAACTATCCACCTAGTTAATAAGGTGTGTTCCCGTATGTCCTCCAAAAAGCCTTGGGCCGTCGATCCACGTCCGATGTTCGATCCAAAACCGGGCCCAGACTGCGGCCTGCCGACCCTCCTGGTCCCGAGCGCCGCACCTGACCTCCACACCGGGCATCCCCACTATGCCCTGCGAGGCCCATTTGTACAAACCACCTGCGCGCACAGTGACTACTGCGCGGTCAGAACGAACGGAACGATCCGGTGGGTGGCGAGACTCTCCCAGACTCCCAGTGAGATCGAATCCCTGGAAGGTTCGGACCAGTCTACCGCTTGGCTGGTTCGGGGGGCCAGTCGACTTAGTAGACACTGCGTACTGGACTGTTGGTACAGTCCTTAACTGATGCATCACCAGTTGGGATGATGCTGTGATCCTGCCTTAAATGGCAAGAACTGGATCATATTGGATGGAACTGGATGTCCGATTGGATTGCAATCCCTACAGCATGCTGATGAAAGATGACACCAGCCAACAGTAATGATCCTTAGGAGTTATGGCCAAGTCTGATTCAAAAAGGAAGAAGCTGAGATTTCCTGAATCAACTGAATGGTCATTATACTCACACACTTAAGTGGCCTTCTTTTGCATGAGCCTCCAACCTACTAGCGATGGCCTCCAACAGTCCCACTCACACAGCTGGTGGCCTTTATTTGTATGAGTTCCACAAGCTCCGCAGTTCCACGCCTATCCTTGAGGCAGCTCTGTGCGGTTGGCCGTTGATGCTCCTGATGGAGCATTGTCCGGTCGAGGGTTCGCGACTCTTCGACGACCGGTCCGGTCGTCAATCCGCTCTCACAGGGCCCACCGCGAAAGAACGCAGGGTCCTGTTTTGGTCAGATGTTCAGGTGGAATAGATCATTGTTTTTTCTTTAGACCCACATGGATCCACATGGTGGATGATGATTGGACAACAATGGGACTTCCCAATGATTCCTCTCAGGTTTGTCCAGATATCACCGACGCTTTGAGACCAACCCGGCTCGTTTTAAACGTTTATAGATATTTATATATAGGTAAACACACAGTATCATAGCGTTGCCAAGTGGTACTCCCAATGCCCGATATGAGAAAGGGGGGGCCCTCCGAATCCGCTGAACAAATTGCTGGATTGAAGGCGCCCATCTGCAAATAGTCCTGCTGTAGCTGGTAGCTCATATATGAAAGACATTGAAAGACCATCCACAACTGACCTCTATATATAACATGGATCTACTGCTTTCACTTAACTTACCTTGATCCACCACCTTTTGATTCACCAACCACTCACCTGTTTCTCTAAGCAACGAATTCAATCCTTTCAAGCCAGCCGCCAGCTATACCACTTGGCCCAGCAAATACCCCACGCCCACCCCGACGGCCGCACCTTCTTTTGAAGCATCTGCCTCCCATTGATCCAAAAAGACCACGAAAGTCCCGTCCGGGCGGACTGTACCACGACGCTGGAGCACGACGCCGGTGTGGTTCGGCGGTCCAAGTGTTATTTGTTGTTTAAATGTTGGTAAGATGCAGGTTGACTTCAGAACTGTAGCATTGGCACCATACACTGATCCAATTCACATGCAGCATATCTCTGATTTGTTCCAAGAGACACAAATCGGAAGTCTGCAATCCAACGTCTCATGAGTTTACAAGTTGGCCCAGGCTCTTCCCCATGACCTGGACTTCGACTTTGATGGCATTGATGTGACAGAGGTCTCAAAAGCACAACAAAAAAAGTCCTTGGATCGGCTTCGACTCTGGCTTCCTCTACTCTGCGCCTGCAAATCTGTTGAGCCTCGTGGGTAGCTCCACCCATTGCAGCCTCAGTGCCAAAAGCAGAACGGGCTTGAGCTGTGTATTCCAGCAACAAATCGCGGTCTGGCCTGGTTCCATCAGTTGGAGTCTGAGATACTATTTCTCTGTATATAAACAAGTCATAACAAGTCCAATTCAGGATGTTGAGCTTGTCTGGTTTGCACTTTCTCTGCCGAATCGGACCAGATGCTGAGGAAGAGGAAAAGGAAGAGGTGTATGATCGGTGTATGTGTGTGTGTGCGAGAATTCTGGAGCATTCCCACCAAATCCACATGCCGGGCATGAGTTCACAAAAAGCCCTTTGTCTCAGACATCAGAATGGGATAGGAGCCAAATGCCATGCATACTAAAAGCTTCTTGTTACTACTAGTAAGGCACCTGTTTCTAGAAGCGATGCACTTGTTCCTAGTAGCGAACAAAAACAAAAAAAACACGGAAAACGTTTGGATATGTTTGGATCTCAAAACGGCCAACAGCTCCCTCTGGCCGAGATCCGCACCCAGTCGGGCTCTTGGCGCAACGCCTTGGGGAACTCCTGAAGGTGGAACCAAGCACAGGAATGAGGTTTAAGAGTTAAGAGATGAACAAACTATAACAAATAAACTTACATGTTGCACAGTTGGAAGATCTATGATAATCTATACTAAATGAAACTAACAATCGTAAAACAAATCTCTTGGACCTTGGACACCCTTTCCTTCTCATTTGGGGACCGCCCTGGGCGCTCCTTGAGTGTGGCAGCCACGAAGGGAAGTCGCCCAGAGAGCAGGAAGAAAAGCATGCAGCCAGCTGACCTGATGCAACCATTTCTGAGCCCGTGTTGAATTTTCTCACCCCAAACAAGATGTACTTTCATGTTTACCGCACGCCCTCTTCCTTAAACGTCTTAAACCTTATATCATCAGCTTAAAGGTTGGTGGTATCATCTGTTTATGCAGTTCCGTAGAAATTCAACAACGTGAGACTTCGCTCCGTTCGGTAAACGTTCCCGGTTCCACCGTTGGGAGTGCACATTTCGTGCGGAACTGTCTCAAGGATCGACATCGACAAAAGCACCGACAAGCACCGACAAGATGCTCAGGATGATCGAGCGGTTTGATAACTTTGATGATTCGAGGATTCTCAGTTTCAATCTATCGATCGAGCGATTTGGGGAACGAGTTGAGAGGAGTTCAACTCCTTGCCCGATTGGTGACCCCAGCTCCGTGCTTGGGCTTATCTTCAAACAGTCGAACACTCTTCCCGAAGCGACAACGTCACTGTTCGCTGCTTTTGGACGACCACATTCATTCAAACAGATTAGATTCATGAGCATACTCCCAGCATCCATCAATATGCCCTAGCTAATATGTTTCCTGTTGCTGCCCGAATGCCCCGAGTCAGAACGCCCCAAGTCCAAAGGTTTCCAACGAACATCGCTAATAGTAATGCCAGGAGCTCCTAGTAGCGTCCTGGCTACTAGCAGCGATGCACCTTGTTACTAGTAGCTTCTTGCTACTACTAGTAATGCCAGGAGCTACTAGTAGCGTCCTGGCTACTAGCAGCGATGCACCTTGTTACTAGTAGCTTCTTGCTACTACTAGT